TTTTAGTTCAGCGTTAAATTCCATTCACATAAACATTCTTCTCGGGAAATGAGTACAGTTGAAGGTCAAGCCTTTTTTAATTGAGTGGTATTAATTTTTTTTTATATATCAAAAAGATCTCAGCTAATAAAATACAATTCAGTTCTCTCTGATTCAAAGATTCTTCCCAAGGTTGCGTCAGTTCGCCTTACCTCTTTATCTTGTACACAAACAACTACATTATCTCTCAACCCAATCAGTTTATAATGCAATTTTTGGTACAGTTATTCTGAGTCTTCTGACAGACATAAAGATGCCATAGATAAGTTGGTTTTTTGGTGTGACTCTCATAAGCTGCAGATAACTCGAAAACTGTTGAATTATTTCTGGATCTGAAATCAATCAATAAATAGCCAAACATGGCTGCCCCATCAAACAGGTTACATCTTTTATATATTTAGGTATGTGCATAGATGGCAATTTGACTTGGCGCACACATGTGACAAGTGTATGTGCAAAAGTTCACCAGCGTCTCTATTTTTATGAGAATGTGCTGCATGTGAATGGAAATGGTGGGGATGTACTGCCGATCTGACATTTTAGGTGTTTTGTACTTTTTGGTTTTATGTATTTATTTATGGCTATTGTCCTTTTTGGATGTGCTGTTCTTATTGTATTTGCAGTTTTTGCCCCCGCTTCCCCCTGCTCTGGCTGGTTGCCAGAGCAGATAGCTCAACTAATTGATAGAAATAATTTAACAAATTAGTGGCCTTCATCTATATTTTATATTAAAAGTAAAATAAATGCTTTACATAGCATCATTTCAATATCATCAATACGCTATTATATTCCAGCAATATCAGCTATGTTATTAAAACATGAGAATCTCATATTTGGTTGTTATGTGGAAAACAAATGGGAAGCTTCACATGCCTGTCACCCTGTGTCTGCAGGAATTGTAAGAACCTGAAACTTTAACATGACATAATCCAACAAATATTAACCAAAAACTAAACTCAGCAATTCATCAGATTTTCCGAGCAGAAACCTACTTCGTGCGTTGTACACATTTGGTAGCAGTACTTCCCTCTACCGCTAGATGGAGGTGTGATACTGCCACAACATCCAGCTAATTTCTGACCCGTTACAGAAGGTTGCCTGACAGAGCTGGGGCAAACTGCAAGACTGAGGAGGAGTAAATTATATAATTTGTGCATCCATGACAGTTTCCTAGTTGATGCATCCAAAACAGTGAAAGAAAACTGGTTAAATTCTGGACTGGAAGCATAAATATTAATTAGGGAGTGAATTTGTAGCTTGTTATTCCTCCTATTGTCAATATCAACTTTAATCTCACTTTATAGGGCTATTCCTCCCCTAGCCTTATGTATAACACCAAATATGGTACTATATTTAGTTAGTTAGTGGTTAAATATTAGACAGATAAACATCTGCAACATCTGTTTTCAGTGATTATATGTACAGTTTAGACCCAAACTATTCATACCTTTGAAAAATTTCAAGGGTGTGAATACATTAGCCTTTTGGAGTGGACGAGTCAGAGTCCTGTCTTGAATCTGACAGAAAATCTGTGGAGAAAGTGAAAGATTAGGGTGATGGGAAGGTGTCGCTCCATATGCAAGAACTTTAAAGAAGTCAGAATGCGCCATTTTAAATCTAAATCTGCAGTGACTGATTAATATTAAATAGTATGTTTATGTGTCACGCACATAAACATATGTGACAAAACATGCCTGTATGTTTCATGTTAACAGTCATCAAATAAAAATATCCTGCCTGATGTAAATTACTCGTTTAGAATTCCAATAAAGTATTACCACTATACTAACATCAAATATGTTGAATGATATATAGTTGTTCCCAAATACTTGGCTTAGTACCTAGTAAGCTTCAAACACATCTGAAATGAAATAATGACCAACCTAACTGTAAGTATACAGTATGGCAAAATTGTTTGTAATTAGTATGTCTAACTGGGAAATTGAATTTAAACACAATATTTTAAACAGTGATCTCAGACAAACAAACAAAAATAATTGGGATGCATTAATACAGAAGACCTTAAGGTAAGTTTAGGAGTAAGTTTTGTGACATTCAGGTTTACGGCAGAGTTAAACCAAACAGCAAATTAGCCGAGTTACGAATGCCTTTTGTCAAGCAACTTTAGGCATTCAGGTCAGACTGCTCTGTCAACAAATAAACCAACAAAGACCTTTGTATTGCTGTGCTCAATCAATCTGTTTAGTTGAACTGGTTCCATAAACGCCATTTCTCATTGACAGATGACATATGGCTGAAGCACACACCCCTCTGACACTAATATACAGGCCATTCGCACACATGTTCTTGTTCCACAGTAAAAAATTAGTGGGTGTGCCGCAGCATATGTCTGCTACTGGACCCTACAATCTGAACATTTGTCTCTCGCACTCAGTGTACGCGCGCGTGTGTGTGTGTGTGTGTGTGTGTGTGTGTGTGTGTGTGTGTGTGTGCGATAAATTTGTTGACTGGCATATGCTCGGAAAATACATGTGTCAGCAAACGCTGGGCATCCGCTGACATATGTCGACGCATAGCCTTCTGTGTTTACACGTACTGTTTTCTCTGAGCAAGCCTGCGTTTGTATGAATTTGCTCACGGAGAGTGCCCAGTAATCCATATTGGGCAGCTGCGCTCATTTGTATTCAGCCCCAAAGCACTTTCTTGGGCCGTCTCGCTGATTAGGGATCAGAGACGGAGAGGAGTGAAACAGTGGACGCTGAGGAAGACAAAGAGAGACAAAGATAGAGAGATGGGGGTGAGGCAAAACACAGAGGTCCTCCCTCCTTTTGTAAACAGTTTGTTAATGTCTTTAATCCCATTAGGCAGGGGCCCTTCATATAACATGCAGTAATACAGGGTTGCAGTGTGCTATCCCCTTTTCTCTCTCTCCCTCTCTTTATCTTACACACACCCACACTCTCTCACAAACATACACTCTGCTTCACCCAGGAAATGAAATTGATTTGCCCTCATAAACATTTGATAAAGCTCTAATGCAGCACCGCGAGCAGCTAAGAAGGCCCGAGGAGTGGACCCATGCAAAATGACATGCAAATCAAATGAGCGTCGTATATTTCCCGGCATAATTTGCCAACAATTATTGTTTTGACCCGGCTCCTCAGTCGACAAAAGAAACCTGCTCCCTCTGAGGAGCAGGAAATCAGCTTTTCAAGTGCTCTTGTGTTTGAAGAGCCGGAGAGCAAGGCGAGGCGTGTTTGCCAGAGCTCCGCGGAGGAAATCAGGCGTGGGGTGATTTCACACAAGAAGTGAAATCACAGCAAAGGCCACGGCCACTTGTTCGCCTCCACGTGCAACGCGCTTAAAAAGAGCCGCACTTGATTCAGTGTTTCCTCAGACGGAGAAAGAAACGTTGGAAAAAGCAGTTTGAATTTGGGGCTTGAAAACAGCTTGTCCACTTTTCACTTTATTTATGTGTGGCAAAATAGAAGCGCCCGTGGCAGTCACGGCAAAAATTATTCACAGTGGGCACATAAACGTGCATGGGAATACAATAGCATCAGCATGCAAGAGAGGAAACAGTGAAGCAGGCGCACTTCTCTTCTGCAATACAATTATATGCTTATTTCATAGGACTATTGACAATAAAAACTTCAACCTAAATATGTCACTGATGTTATTGGACGTTTATTTGACTTCCTGCCATTTTAGAACTACATTCTTCAATTCACTCATGTCTTATAAGTGAATGTTTTACGCTTGTTTGTTTGCCAGTGATCATCCTGGATTTTTAGTTCTCATGTGTTTCTTTGTCAAGTTCACACAATGCATCTGTCATTTCTAGACATTTTCCACCACTGTCTAAATTCAAGCATGTTTAATCAGATTCACCTGTTCCAGATCCAGTAGTCACTCCTTCCATTGAATATGTAGTCAGTTCTCATCCTATAAGGTTTCCCTGCCATAGTTCTTGTTGCTGCCTTGTATTTAATTTTCTTTATGCTTTGTATACGCTGGACCCTATGCTCGCTATTCTGCATGTCTCCTGCCTGTGTGGGTTTCTGCATGGAGATAACATCTTCTCCCCATGCATACCAGTGGGTTCTTTCCAGGTAAAAAGTCCAAAGACATGCATTGAGGAGGGAGATGGTTGCTTTTTTTTTGTGCTTCCATAAATAGAATATGAGTTTTGTAAATCTAGAATAGTAAGTAGCCTTTAGAAAAAATCCAGATACATTTGATCACAATAAGACTTTGAACTAAAGATGGTCGTGGGGAACTAATTTTCCGTAAGAAGACTGAAGAATATCCCTTTGTCAGGACATTCAAAACGGTACTTTAAAGCGTAACTGACTTAACTGATTTTGGCAGCCAAATCTACCATATTGAAAGCTGCAACTGATGGCATGTGATGAAGGCTTTCCTCTGCATTTAGTTTAGGATCAATTAATCATTTAAGGAAATTCAGTGTTACAAATTACATGGATGAATGTAACCCTTAATTTTTCTTGGATTTTATAAGCCTTACATTTGTCTGATTCATTGATTTGTTGTTTTCAACAGACGACTTGGTACAAATAGGATAACTGATGCAGTCTCATCCCTGAATAAGCAGTGAAGCAGAGATTTTACTGCTATGAAAACTGCTCCAGGAAACTTAAAAGTGGGATTAGTGCAAGGGCGAAGTCATTCATTGCTGTATTTGATTAATTATCCCTACGCTTTTGTTGGTGAGCCATGTCAAGAAACCTTCTAGCAAAAAATGGTATATATTGGCTGTCATCCTAAACCTGCGTGCTTGTACCAGTAGCAGAGAAAAAGTCAAAAAAAAAAAAAAGTCACACACACTTGCCTACTGCACCCGCCTAACGCAAACATCCACATTAGAACAATTCACACCATGCCGCACACAAATTCTGATTGACACGGTTTTTGACCAATGACGTCTTGACTCCGAACAGCCATTGCCCAATCACAACAGAGACTGGTCTGACTCTCCCACCCCCTACTGTGGGAGCTGAAAAGGAACGTCATTTGCCTCGTACATTTAGCTTTAGCCTCAAATTAGCTTGACTACTTTTAAATCAGAAATGTATTCTCTCAAATAGAGCCGCTCTTTCTCTTAGCCATCAACCTCGGACAGCGTTAACACTTCGCCCTCTTTTGATTTACGACAGGAAACATGTATATAAAGGCCTTATTCCGATGCAGGGACATGCTAAAGGGAGAATTCTTCGTGTGAGATGCTGGCTAGCCTTCGAGCAGGGGCCAAAAACCGAAAGTGGCTAACAGCACCGAGGGTTAACTCGTCACCAGCAAACCTGTGGGCTTTCTCACATCTGCCCTAGGCTCCCGAAGGTGGACAGACTGAAACGGTGCCTTTCCTACAACGTAAGTAACGCCTCGTTTTGACTCCTAACGATGTTCTGGCTCTTGGCTAATCACCAGCTAACATGTCACACAAGTCTACACTTTTGACAGCTGTGAAGTTCGCTAGCTGGTCGTCCGTTAACGCAAGTGGCCTGAGGTTTAGTGAAGCAGACACTTTTAAAAAGAAGGCTGTGTAGACTATTAAAGACGTGTATCTGCGTGTCTTTTTGCTCGGTTCCCTGTTGGTTTGGTTTGAGGCTCAAAAGGTGTTTCCAAAACATTCATCAGCACCAATGATGAGCTGCTGTTGGTCTTATTGCATATGGGGGCAACTATTGGTAAATATGTTTAGTAGGGTTAATAATTGTTATGTTCCTCCCCATAAATTGTGCTTAATTTTAATACCTAAAATTAAGCTTACTGTTTGCAACAGGTGTCCTTCATTGAGCTAGATACTAATATATATTCCTGTTAGTTTTGTTTTGACCTATATTTCAACATTAAACTAAAAAAGGCTGTATTAATTTTTTTTAATACTTAATCAATCATTCCATTGATTAAGTATTCATATACCCGTTCCAATAACTGAATGGGACTTTTATAGTAGATGCATTTTATTTATTAGCATGTTGTTTTGTTTATTGTTCCTTAATGATGACGTGCCCCAGAAACGGAGGCGTCATCAGTGGCATGTTTGTGTTTGCAACCCTGGATGCAATCCTGGACTAGCCAGGCAGTTTCAGGATCCAGCTGTTTCTTAGTCTATTGGCTTGTTCAGTAGATTTACTTATCCATGCTTGATTATGTTGGGCTTTTCAATCACCTCAGAATAGTTATATTGGCAACATTTTTGAAACGGTCATCTGTGTGGGTTAAAAATTGAGCAGACTGCTTAAAAAAATAAAGAAAATAAAAAATAGCAAATTTCTGGCCTGCTAATGCTATATCTCTCCATTTACTTTGGAACCTGTGACGCAAAATCAAAATAATGCTGAATCTTAATTTGTTTAAATAGAGATAAAACTGATTAATGTGTCTACTTATCTCAGTCTTTACAATAAGTGCTATTTAATTGACTTTCTATGGTCAGTAATTCAGTTAAAAAGTCCTAAGTAAATGTAATACAATGTGTGAAGTAAAGATTGAGACTGTTAAAAAGTACAGGGAGTATTTTGGGTTCTTTGTCACTGTATATCTATACATGAATTCTGATATCGAACTATTGATTATTTGCAGTGTTGTTGGAAAGTGGATCTTGACTGGACTAATTAAACATCTTCACACACATTAGATCAGTTAAAATTAGAATATATTTGTTGCTTATTCATATTTAAAAATTTAAAATAACCTACACATAGTCAAGTTTTGTCTGCCCAAACATTGAGCCCTGGTAATGTCAATGATAATAATGATGTTCTCTGAATACTTGCATTATAAATAGAACTTCTTAAAATTACAACCCACTTTGAAAATAAGCAGATTTTTTTGTTTTGTGCAGATGTTGTAGCTGATTGTATCATAAATGTCCTATTTTGTGAAAATGCAACAACACCAACACATTAATTAACTTGTGTTTAAATACGTTTTGGGTGTATTTTATTGTTGCTTTATGTAATTGTGTGGCATGGTTTGGTGTGATAATATGCCTTTTCTTGGGACCAAAATAGTTGTTCTTATTCCAAAGAATATGAATCCTTTTTGTTTTATTTAGACTAACGCAAGTACAACAAGCTGGTTAATTAGGTTATCTGCATTTCTAGCAAACCTCCAAATGATTGCTTAACAAACATGCTGACTGTAGCTTGCAGAGTGTAGTTTTAAAGTGTGTTAGTTCAATAAGATTGAGCAGTGGTGCTCCTTTACTTTGAGCATCATGACTGTACAGGTTTTTAACGACCAGAAATATTTTGTAGTTTTGTCTTGTAAGTGAGGAAAATGTGTTTTATATATATATATATATATATATATATATATTATTCAGTCAGATTGACGTTTGCCGATGCTGTTACTTAAAAAGTGGTTTTATTATGGTAACTTTTCAAAAATTTCCCACACCGTCGTAGAGATAACAGGCCTGTGCGGCTTCCAGAGATATTTATCTAGCTATGCTTGGCTACGCCTGTCACCTGAATTGCGTCACATGCGGCTCTACATTAAGGTGCTCTGTTGACTGGAAACCTCGAAATAGCTCAAGGGTTTTCCTATCAAGAGGGAGAGATGGATTACATTACATATATGTTCTAATAACACTGCTTACAGTTTGAGTTTGGTTATTGTGAGCACTTTTCATCTATTGATACGTTTTATCCCACAGGAATTTAGTTAACTCCTAAAACCATTTATCATGTGGTGTGCCCTCCTTTCCCTCAGTCTCATCAGATCTTAACTTTTGATGCCTGGAAGATAAATTTGGAGCTGGGCAGCTTGTAGATTGAGAACGAGCAGGTACAAACAAGCCCAGATGCCCTCTTTGCTGCCAAGAAACCACTCACAGTCTACTATATCAAGACACATTTACTTCCCTGCTCTTCAGCCACGGTCCGATGGACTCCTGTCTGGCCCAGTAACGGCTCCATAACCCCAGACGCCGTTGTAATGATGTGCTGCTTTCGTTCCTGGAAATTGACAAGTTTTGGAATGACTTAAATGATGATCATCCAAGAGTTTTCATCTCGACGTTTTTATTTAAAACAAAACACAATTGTAATCTGCAATATCACTGCAGTTGTCCTGCTAAACCAGCTAGTCCAGAAATATTTTAGTTTTTTCACCGTATGAGAAGCGGATGTATATCATGGATGCCTAATCAGCAGAAAAATAAGCTCTTGGCTTAAATGCAATACAAGTGTGTGTCTAGAAATGGATTATATCAATATTGACTTTGTTTCAGCTTCATAAAGAAGTTGGTTAAGTAAACACTGGGCTGATTAGATATTAATAACACCATGACTGTAATATTGATTCACACACATGCCATTTTTTTCAGTGGCAATGTTCTGAAAAGATTCACCATTCAATCACTCAACAGAATAATAAGTCACTCAAGAATATTGTGCACTTTTTGTAAAAACAGACATTTTTATTATTATAGTAAACATGACTGCCTTTTTCCACTGTGATCCTTCGTTTCCCCAAGCGTTTTATTTAGTGAAGCTGAATACACAGATCACAATCGGTGTTGAGACGGAGGTTGAAGAACTGAATTTGGAGAAATAAAATGCATATGAGGGCTGCATGGTAGTCCAGTTCTTGGCACTGTTTCCTGACAGCAAGAAACTCATTGATTCAGTTGTTGCACATTCTCTCCATGGGTGCTTACTGGGAACTGCAATTTTTTTTGGATTGTTAGTTTTCTCTAACAATTCCAAAAAAATGTTAGATGGGATAAGTGAGCATCTCTAAATTGCTATTGGGTATTATTAGTATGTGTCTTTGTGCTGCCCTTCAATGTAACCCGTCCAGAGGCCGTTGGAGATGGGCACCAGCTCCAATACTATTCTACGTGGATGTTAATTATGTATCTGTTACAGAACTTGGATATTTTGATTTTAATATCTTCACCAGTCAGTTTAACATATTTCATTGGCTGTAAGAAAGACCACAGCTTTCTTTAGATCATTGGATAAAATAGAGCAGAGTGTAATGCAAGGTTTTATAAAGATATGTAGCTCTTTATATAAATAAAACATTACCTTTACCTCCCTATGAAAATTTGCACAGCTACAAAATCTTGCGTTATACCATTAGATTACCAAAATTTAGTAATACTGAAGCACTTAAGAAGTCAGAGAGGTAGATTATCACTTTTGAAATATTTGATTATATGTATATACCATTAAACATGTAGACTAAGTGCTAAGAAGGAGATTCTTTTCTATCTGTATAAAAGAGGCTCTAGGAAAAAGGCTGGTTTGACTCCGACTGACACTTTTGAAAGTATTTAATATTACTAATGAAGCACCTCTCAGCAATAAGTCACAAAGATGGAGCTTAAAAATAGAAACTGAAAAGACAGAAATCATAATTGTATACAAATAAAGTAATATTTAAAATGAAAATGTCCTCAGTTCCTTTCTTAATAAGTTGTGACTCAACAATCTGGGAAGTGATCTGGGAAGTGAGTGATTTTTAAAAAACATTTTTTTAAAAATATTTGATCCTGGAGGCTATAATATGATCCTGGAGTCATTTCTATTTAGATATCATGAATTACTGCTTTCATATCTATATACTGCACAGTGCTAATATTTAGATTTTCATTTCCACTTATGATAAACATGAAGGGACATTCATATAAGAAAACTACTCACCGCATGGGCAGATGACACTGCATAGGGACTAGAACTGAAGAGTAAAACCAGATCAGAAAAATAACTTTTTAATTTTGTATCTCTAAAAGAGGGTTACAAAATGTAAAACTTAGTGTTCATAATTCTATTTCCTATCAGTAGTTTGTTGATAAACAGTTAAAACAGAAGTTAATTGAGATCTTTTGTTTCCTATGCTGTCAGACGGACGTCTGTGTTTGACAGAATAATCTGGCCCTGTGTGGAGCCCATCAGCGGCTGAAGGATAAATTGAGTTAACTGGTTAAAGCTGTCTGAGAACAGAGGCTGTGATGCTGTCGAGCCAGTCCGTTGGCCACCTTTCAAACAAAACGAACAAAAATAATTTTGTGGCATAATTAAATTCAAAATAGTGGTTGTTGTGCCTCATCATGTTCCCAGTAAACCTCATTGTAAATATTTCTTTTAGCAGGTGACTTGTCTTCTATATTACAGTAAAATGAATCAGAAAACCCTGCAGATAAACAGTTTCGTACTTTGCCTTTTATGGTTTAAAATTGTATTTTTTTTAAAACCTGTTATTGCCCCACAGAGTTTCCATATCAAACTTTTCTCACAATGAAAATGCTATCCTCCACAAGATTGTCAAGAGTTGGGGAAAAAAACAACTAAACTATGACATGATCCAAAAAACAATATTCCAGCTAGTCCTGTCACAATGAGCAATAGATCAATTAATCACATGATAAATAAAAACAAGCTCAGTCATTTCTATTTGCATGATTTATTGTTTTATCTTTCTACCAAAGTCTGTATGACAAAATTCTTCAGTCTGGTGTTTTTGTTTCAACTTGCCCCCTTTTTTTTTTTTTTTTTTTTTGAAGGACAATTTTATATACAGAGACTTCATAATTAATTTCATTAGTTTTTTTTCCGTTATTTGGGAGGATTTAACATGGGTCATATTTGAAATATTTTCCAGTTCCAGTGTTAAATACTTGTTAGACTTTAAAGTTTATAGAATGTATTCTTGCATTATTGTGCCACTAGCTTTACATGACTTCACGATTGTGTTGAACCAACAATATTTTCATTCTCCAAAATTTGTTATTCTGACAGGCCTAATTCCATTCCACATAACACATTGGTTATTATACTATACTAGTATGATCCATATTGTTTATGTACACAGAACCTAAAGCAAAGATACTGAATAAACATCAACTAAATGTAGTAATAGTTTAAATGGCTTATTGGTCAGAATGTTGCACCTTTTTGCCATTCTCCTCTTTTCAGAGTAACATGTTGTATTGTCTAGTTGGACTGCCTGCTTGGGTAAAACCTACAGATGATTGTCTAACAGGCAAACTGCACACAACTACCGGTTTCCAAACAGAGTTAATAATTAATTAAAAAAAAAGAACAAGAAATATTTCAAGACTGCTAAATCTGAGATGTTAGCTGGAGATGTGCACCAGAACCTCCCGACCCTACTAGGGACAAGGGTGTAAGAAAATGGCTGGATGGATGCTAAATGTGAGCGAAAACAATCTATGAATAGCAACAGGTGGGGGACGGCGCAAGCCTTGTTGCACTCTGCTCCATAGAGCCAGAAAAAGCTCGGGTCACTCTGACTTTTCCCCTGGCAACTCATAAAAAGGACTTCTACCCTTCTGGAAATGACAGACACCTTCAGGGTTTTTAGAAAGGCTAACATTTCTAAACCTTGGAACTGGTCACTGGCCACAGGGACTGTAAACCCAAAAACATCTGACGAACCTTCCGGATACTCTTAAAGACACGGGCGTGTAAATTTAGTTCAACTTTGTTGTGTGGGAAGTGTTTGCTCTGCTGTGGTTGAAGTTAAGAGGATGACTGTACAGAGCAGTTTAAATGGCTTACGATGTGGATCCAGGTCAGCCAGTGGAGCTTGTTGTCCTTACAGGAGAACTCTTGCATCTCTGTTGCACAACACTTCTGTAGATTAAGCATCAGTGTTGTGCATCCTTTGATTCCACAGCATGCTGATAAAATTGCAACCTTTTTTTATTTGAGCTGTAATAATAACATAATACACTTTTCCTCCTAATGGAGACGAGTTGGATGTTACCCATCTTCAATAAAACATGACCTTCAGCCTTTTAGCTCCGTCTTTACAATTGACATTAGTAGAGTAGATCATCAAATATGCCTACAGTGTATTTATAAGTTGCATTCATTGATGTCATCAGAAACAAGGTGCATGTTAAAAGTGCAATTTCAATGGCCAAGGCGCAGTTAAGTACTGTGACAATCAATACAGTTATAGACTCTCCTCTCACATTATCTAAACGATCAACGAGGCTTGATGCAGAATTAGTGTCTGCCATAAAACAGCCTGATGCTGCTGTTCATTTAGCTAATGCAGGTGCAGTTATTGCTGGAGACAACATCCTCTTGGACAGTTTGTTAATGCCTTTGGTTGCCAGTTTCCACTAGCCAAAGAAGCTTTTAAGCTCACTCCTTCATCTTTTTAAGTATAAACTAGAGTGCGTTGTGCTATCTTTGGCTTCGTTGCACAAGGGTGCAGAGATTTAGGCCATCATCTGGGATCATAAATGCATATTATATAATTACTAATTCTGTTCAATAGGGAAGAAAAAAGGGAAATTTAGAACTTTTTAATATAGTGAGGTATAAACAAACTGAAATATGTTTACTTCTGTGACAAATGTTTGCTTTTGGGGATTATACTGTTTTCATTCTGAGGGAAACTATTCTAAATTAGCAAAGTCCAGACAGATGTCTGATGCCTTTGGTTGTCTGATTCCTACAATAATAATAAGTGTGTAGACTTTTTGATGGAGACTTTTTCTGGGGATTTTTTTTTGCATTCCCCTTTTTACCGTTTGAAGACATTCCTGAGGGGAAGCTTGCATTTACTGCTGGGCATTTTTGAAATCCGATTTAGCTTGTTCCAAAAATGTCTTTGGAGTTGAATTTGGGTCACTAAGCTGAGCTTTATCGCTGTAATGTGTTCAGTCTTCCTGCTATCTACTGAAAGTCTCTCTTTCCCTTTTTTAATTGTCCTGACTGAATGTTGTGTAAAATAAATTTTCATTTATAATAACCTCATGCCAGTCTTTCTTTCTGAATTCATATTTAAATGCCTAATCAACACTGAAAATGCCCAGTTTGACTTATCTTCATTCAGTAATAGCATCTGCTCTACAGAGTTTGGTATCTAGTATAAATGTTTACTAACCAGAGAAAAGTGGGATTTATGATATTATCCAGAATAAAAGTGTTTGATTCTGGTGACAAGATAATTTCTAGTTGCATCTGTAAATACCTTCAGCATTACATTTTTTTAAATTAAAGATAAATATGTGCAACCGAGATTTTTTGTAAAATATTGGGTCATTGTCAAGATTTGATTAAATATAAAAAGTCTGATCTGAAGAGAACTTTTAAAATGTATACAAAATAATTGATATTTTCAACTACTTTGTTGTTTTAGGTCTTTTTACTCATGATTGCATCTTGTCATAAAGAATGCAATAACTAATGTCCAAATATTTGTCAAAATGGCCAATTATTGGCATTCCATTTCATGTTCCTTGCTTCTCTTTGTGTCTCCGCCACAGGAAGCAGGGGCTCCGTCTGTCTAAGGCCGAGGCATGGGGGCGTTTCTGGACAAACCCAAAACGGAGAAGCACAACTCTCATGGCGAGGGCAAAGGATTGCGCTACGGGTTGAGCTCCATGCAGGGCTGGCGGGTGGAGATGGAGGACGCTCACACAGCTGTGCTGGGACTCCAGGCTCCCGGCATGACCGATTGGTCTTTCTTCGCCGTGTACGACGGCCACGCTGGATCCAGGGTCGCCACCTACTGCTCGAAGCACCTTCTTGAACACATAATCACTGCGAGCGTAGGCACTGGCGGCAAACAAGTCTTGCAAGTCGGACCAGACGGTTGCGGCTCTGACTGTCAAGCGCTTCCTCCTCCTGCTGTGGAGGCTGTGAAAGCCGGCATCCGCACTGGTTTCCTGAGAATCGACGAGCACATGCGCAGCTTCTCCGACCTCCGGAACGGCATGGACCGCAGCGGCTCAACGGCGGTGGGGATTCTCCTGTCGCCAGAGCACTTTTTCTTTATTAACTGCGGGGATTCCCGAGCCGTTCTGTACCGCAACTCGCAGGTGTGCTTCTCTACACTCGACCACAAGCCTTGCAACCCCCGCGAGAGGGAGCGCATCCAGAACGCGGGAGGCTCTGTGATGATCCAGAGAGTTAACGGGTCCTTGGCGGTCTCGAGAGCCTTGGGGGACTATGATTACAAGTGCGTGGACGGCAAGGGCCCCACGGAGCAACTGGTTAGCCCTGAACCAGAAGTGTACGTGATGGTTCGGGCACCGGAACAAGATCAGTTCATTATTCTGGCTTGCGATGGCATCTGGGATGTCATGTCCAATGAGGAATTGTGTGAATTTGTGAAATCTAGACTAGAGGTGTGTAATGACCTGGAGAGAGTCTGTAACGAAGTGGTGGATACCTGCCTGCACAAGGTATGTGGACATTTTGTATTTCAGCAAGGGCTTGATGGGGTGTGAGTCTTTAAACTATTGAGCATCAATAGAAATGCACAGTCTAGTGGTGATAGGTGGCCACATTGTTTACCAATGTGGTTTTAACTATGATACAAGCTGATACATGATGCTGGGCTCACAAAAAGATGAGCTTTAGAGGATGTTTTTGGATCCAAACTAGAAACCTAAAAGGAAATGTGTTTACATACAGTAAAGGTTTGGTAATGAGACCGTTAAAGTGTAGCATAAAGACCCAGTTTGACTGGTCCACATATTTTCATATTTGTGCAAGTCGGACCAGACGGGCACAAATATGTGCAAATCTCTCATTTTGTATATTCGTTAAAACAGTAAAGGTTTCATTAATCTCATGTTGAGATCTTCAGTCCACATGATTTAAGAAAACTGTCAAATACTATGTAGTTATTTTTTTCCCCTCTTGCAGCAAAAAGCAGCCACACAATTTACAGGATTTTTGTAGCTGAATGTTGCAGTCATTTCAGAGAGCTGGCAGGAGTTGGGTACTACTTCCTCTTATTTCAAAATAAGAGTCTCAGACATGGATGAAAGCTTTCAAGCTTTAACCCTTATCCTCACATCTGAGGCTGAATAATAGATCAGATTTACTTTGCAAGAAGCAATTTCATCCTGACAGCAACTTGATAACACTTCACAAGACTCTTAGCTTTGACAAGAAATATATCATGGAAACGTCATAGGATCTTAAAACCTTACTTACAAATCCTTTATATCTCGTCTGTCACTCTGTCTTTTTCATCAAAATCCTGCCGGATGATGTTCAAAAGCTGCAGATGTTTCTTCACTTTTAAAGTAACTCAGTGTTTCCACTCAAGAATGACTTCCTTTCTTACTTTAAAATTGTTTCTGATATAAATACAACAGTCCATCAAGATCCTAGCATACACATGTAATATTAGCTGATGTATTTTTTTGTATACAATTTGTACTTGTATTGGTCTCCTGGACAACAACTGATTATTTTACATTTATTAAGATCTCAGTAAGATAATTTCCATTAAAGTTGTAATTCTTGAGAACGAATCTGACGCCACCACTTTCTGAATGAAAAGGTGGCTTACCTTGCCCTTCTCAATCGGCTTTTCATCATTCTTTTCATTTTTGCTGAGTCCCTTTTTTTTACCCATTCCTACACTTTTCCACCTCTTTTCTCTTGCGCTGGACCATTGACTCAAAGTATTTAAGTCCCTTTAACTTCTTTACTTGTACTATTTCCTTCTGCGGTGAACATTTCTCTGTAGAAATGATTTTGTACTACAATAACAAAGTTCTTCTCTAAGGGGGAAAGCGAAGTCCAAGTCTGAACACTGCTAAAGGACAGATGCGTGAGCAGAAAAGCAAAACATGGCCTCTAAAATAAAAGCTTCTTCTTCAAACTAAAAGCAGCTCTCACTCTCAAGTTAACAATTTCCGATTTTGGAAATAGCTGAAGGGCTGTGTGCGCTGTGTTATCGGGCTTTTTCTAAATGTGCTCAATATTAATTCGGTGTTTTGTTTCCCCTCCTCCTGTCATCCATCTAGGGAAGTCGAGATAACATGAGTATTGTTTTAGTCTGTTTGCCCAATGCTCCCAAAGTATCCGAGGAAGCTGTGAGGAGAGAAGCTGAGGTCAACAAATATCTGGAGGCTCGAGTGGAAGGTAAAAGCTGAGAGCTAATTTCTTTAAGTTGTTTATCTAAGGTGAAAACATCATGGGAACCTAGAATGATGAAAGCTTTAACTTTATTCACCGTTTTCAGAGGTTTGTCGTAAAATGGTTATAGACCACAGCTTTCAGGAGTAATGGAACATTTTGTTTTCTTTTGAAGACTATCTCAGTTCAAACATTTGTTTTTATATTGATAGTATTATTATCGATGTTCCAACTGAATTACGTCTTGTTCATATTCAAAGAATGATACTTTATAGCTTTTTTTTTCATTTCAGGAACCATCTCCCTCCTTTATTCCCTTCTCTTCTTCTCAATTTCCCCTCCTTTTCTTGCCCTGTGTTGTTTGGATGAATTCCCTGATCTGTCTCTGTTCTGTATGCTGTTTTCTAATCCCCCCCACCCTGCTTATTTTCCTTCCTGATTCACGAGACATTTTGCTTAAAGTATAGACCTTTCCTGTAAGATATTATTCCTAGCTGATAATTCCTATAAACCGGACCTTATCAGCTTGTTTCCTTTCTCTCTCTGCCTCGCAGAATTAATTATAAAGACATTTAGTTTAATGCATCAAGATACACTTGAAAGTACCATAACTTGTATATAACTTGCCACAAATGGTGACTTTTACCTGATGGAAGAAACTTTTGGTCCAGGTGAGACGGCGCATGTGTTGGACTGTTGTCTAATTTATGGAGAACAAAGAAGAGAGGGAGTAAAAGGGGAGAGGGCTGACTGAGAGGAATGCTCTGGCTGAACATCGACCTGGCTTCACGCCACTCAGCTGCAAGCCTCTCGCTGTCACCATGTCTCATTCAGACTTGTTTTCAAAAAAATTCACTTGTACGGTTTCCATCCTCGCGTCCTCCAGTAACCCCCTTCTCCTCACTTTTTTTCTTTCTGCCGACGGTCTTGGCAGTAATCAGCGTTGCGTAACAGCAGTTCTTCTGTCCTGTTTAGAAATGCTGTCTCGGCCCCGAGACGACGCTTTTCCGGATCTGGTGACGGTGATGAGGAACCTAGCCTCCGACAGCGGGATGCCCCCTCTGCCACCAGGGGGTGGACTCGCTAGCAAGTAAATGCTGCCACCTTTTATGACGTGTTCCTCTTGTCTTCGTGACGCCGTTTGTTCTCTGATGTTCTCTAACAAACCTCCAGAAAGCAGCTGGATTTATGCTGATGTTAAATTATACACAGGTGGATTCTTTTTACCAAGTGATTGGATACAATTGGGTCTTGGCGATAATTCATTTTTTATCAATGAATCATATTTTCTGTTTTTGTAGATGTAATTCATTTTTAGAAAATCTGTATTTTGTTTTGGTTTTCCGCCAATAGCACAGTGTAATGCTAGCCCACCTAAAAACTACCATCGTGTTTTACACCTATTTATTTCGACTTTGAATTCAGGTAAACTCTAAGAAGTAATGATTGAAATAAAAGCCAATTTTTAAGATGGATTCTCAATTGTGTTTCATTTTATCTAAACCTGAGAGGAAAAAAAATCATTCGAAAATTGAATTTGGTATAACATGCGTACCCAAAAGTTTGTGATTTGGTCTTTTCCTTTTATGTGAATATTTAAAAATCGGGTATCATTTTCCATACAGTTCACAATTGTGGACTACTTTGTGTATGATATGAGAGAGAAACACAAACTTAAAAAAACCCCATTGAGTTTGTGACTGTAATGCAAACAAACAATCAAAATGTTCGATGACTAAATACTTTTGGAAGGCACTGTACATAATAAATATATCTTATAATACACCGGGGGAAACCCTGATACAGCTTTATGCGCTTCACTGGGATTTTGTTGATGTTGCCCTTAATGCTCCCAAAATTAGTCATAATAATATTTGCCTATTATGATGCCAACATATATCCTCTAACTGTTGCTGGTATTTCCTGTGTGCACATGCCCTCCATGTTAACTCTGATGAATTTCCTGAACTGTTAAACTCTCAACATATTCAACCTTGTTTGTGTTCTTCCTGCAGACGCAGTGTTATCGAAGCAGTGTACAACCGTCTGAATCCTTACAAGGAGGAAGATGGAGTAAGTGTCTATAAATGACCTTTGGCCTCTGACCTGTATTTAAAAACGCTCACCAACACTGTCCTGACATTTTGAGGTTATGTTAGTTTTAGTAACATCTCTATTAATTTCTCTGGACTGGAAAGTTGTCCTTCTGTTGGCGTCATCTCACCCGTTTACAGAAAGCTGCTGCTCATGATGTTGTATTCTGGGTTTTACTTTAAACCTTATGAGATCCTTGATGTCTCTTTCTTCACATGCTGCTGTAAATGACCAAGGCAAATTCAAAGCATTACTTAGTTTGTTCTGTATGTTTGACCTTTTTTTTTTTTTTGTCTTTTTCCATTTTAAACCTCTGTCACAGTGAATTTAAGTCTGTAGTCCTTGGAAATAAAGTTTTAATTGACTTGTTTCACAAACATCTAACTTAATTAATAGAAATCTTTGAACTCTTTTTGTATTTTACTGTCTCTACCGTCCCACATACGGAGCAAAGCGTTTCAAATGTTAAAAGCTGGGTGACTTTTTTTTAACTAGCTGAGGCAAATGAAGGTCTTAACACAGCACAAGGAAGTTGTCTGAAAATGCAGTTTTGTGATTAAAATGTTGCAGAGTTTTATGCTTTAAACTTCAAACGTATACATTTATATACTCCTTCTTTATTCCACTGTGGCGAAAAAATATTTATAACTCAAGAAGGAAAAATCTAAGCAAAACTGTTAGTTCAAATAATTGAATTTAAATTGGTAATTGTAGCTCCTCCAACATATCCCAGCTACATTTCAGTCTAAACAGGCTAAGCTAGCATCTTGTCATGGTTGTGTTAAATGCTGCCGTCAGTGTTTGAACTCCGAGTGATAATGTGTTTAGTGGATTCTTCTATGTGTCTTTCTCATTATAATTGACATCAAAAAGGGATTGTGTGTGTGTGTGTGTGTGTGTGTGTGTGTGACTGTAGCTTTCACTAGGGCTGATGTTTACCCAACCATTGACTTAAGGAGAAAAATTACTTTCTTTGACAGCTTCTTATCTTTTTACACTTAAAAGTTTTACCTTTTTAACATACTAAAAACAAAACAGAGATATTCCGGAGGTTTACTGATGCATACTTGCATGCACTCTAAAGTGAAGATGAACTTTTTTTAAAACCGTAAAATTGGTTCCACTCTACTGTCGTGCATACATACTTTTCAGTTGCACACGCAAAACCGCCCATCCTCTGAGCTTTGTCACGTTTCGTCAAGTTGCAACCACAAACTTTGTTGTGCTGCAAGTTTTTTTTTTTTTTTTTTGTGACACACTTTACAAATACGCAAAGTGTGCAGTAGATCAACACTTTTGAGTTGATCGACTGCAGAACACCCACGTATAACACAACAGATTTTGCGGGTATACTTTGACAAAATGCGGGAAAAGTCCATGAGGTGTGAATTTGTTTTTGGCAAGAAAGCGCGTATAAAGACGCTAACAAGGGAAGCGTCAACATGTCTAACTGTGTGTTCACCCTCTGATTAATGCAGCCCTCCTGTTTCATTTGGTAAGTGATCACATATATAAGTGTTAAACCCCAACCCACCCCTTCCCTCCTTCCAAAACCTCACGCACACACACATTCTTCCAGGCATGTACAGTGGTGACCTGCAGAGCATATTCCCCTCCGTCACGTCTCCATCAGTCTCTACGTCCCCTTCTGGTCTACTTTCCAGCATGTAGAGCTCCATTTAGACTTCAAGGAGTGTGTGTAAGTGTGTGTGTAGATGAGCGATGAGGTGTTTCTGGTCCTGTCTTTCCCTCTCTCTCGCATCACAGGCACACCAACACGCATGCACCAACCCCACACGCATGCATCGCTGTCTCACCTGACGTCTGAGCAGCCGCACAATCTGTCTCTGTGCCACGCCCCCCGCAAGAGGAGAAAGCGACAGAATTATGTCTGCAGATGTATTTATTTTCGTATTAAAGGATCTACAAACCTGAGGCTGGAAGTGTTGGTGTTGTAACTTTATTTTTTTTTTGTCTGTGTCGATGGTATAAAAACCTTCCCTCGAAAACCCAGGTCGGGAACCGAAACCTGTTAACGTGACGTTAAATTAACGGAGTATTTTTCTTTCGCTCTCATCTCTCCCTCTTTTCTGTTTCCCCCCCCCCCCCCCTGCTCTATCTTTCCTGGCTGTCCTCTTGCAGAGTGGAGCAGATTTGGAGTGCCACTGGTAGCTGTCCAGCACAACCGCCTGATCCAAAAAACAAACAAAACTCCACAGGACCACTATTCCACATGAGATTGCATCATTTTTAAATTTTTCATCTGAGAGAATAATCATTGTAATGCTCACCCAATCTGGAGGACCACAAGTGGATTAAAATGCTTTTTTGTTTGTTTGTTTGTAAACTAGGAAACTGCACTACAGACATACACGTATAATACAAAATCCAGTGGAAACTCAAGAAAGTGCAGTTTTGTTTGGGTTTTTTCGGTTTCATTTTTGTTGCTTTCCGTTGTGGATTGACAGAGACACGGGAGCAGTTCCGCTCTGACGGCTTTGGGACTTTATGGTGCCTTGCAGAGACCTGAGAGAAGAAGAAGAAGAGGGGCCCTCACAACTCCACCGGCTGGCCGCCATCACAGAGAAACCAGCCGCTCACACGTCCTTATGAGACAGAGGACGCTTCAGTGGTTTTTGTGGCATTATTTGTTTTCAAAGTGTTTTTATTATATCTTCTGACTGAGAGCTTATCGACCACACAAACTCCGCAATAAGCTACTACGCCGTACGGGGAAGTTGTCTGCTTTTACTGCAATGTAACGGTCATGAAACTCCACCAACCACATCCAAAGACTTCTGGGTAAAAATCCTCCAAACGGATCACCTGAGAGTGTGTGTGTGTGTGTGTGTTTCCGTCTTGGTTTGAGCTGCGGCTCCTGAAACGGGCGGGTTTGCTCCTCCACACATGAACTCCAGTGTGACTCTTCTTGCACGTCTCTGCTCACTGTCTCCACTCTCGCCTGCCAAAAGATGCAACAGTTCATCATTTCCCTCCTCCTGCTACTTCTCTCTGCTTCCTGTCTCCTCCGGTAAAAACATTCTGCAGTGCATTGGTAAACCTCGCCAGAATCATAAACTTTAGAGCCTGCTCTTCTTTATAGGAATAGAGATAGCTATTATATATAAAATTTATATATATATATATAAATATATTTTTTTGTTGCATTTCCAACCCTGGTATTCATTGTGGCCTAATATGTTTTTTGGTCATTTCTGTGTGTGTGTGTTTAAGCTTAGATATATCAACGAGAGAACAGAAACATTAAGATTAGGCGTGCACAGGTGTTGCTCCAGCACAAAAGCCTTCCAATTAAAGGGTTTGGAGATGAAGACATTCCAGTTTCACCTTCCTCCTCTTTGCCTTTTTATCCACAACACATGGGCCAATACACGCACGCAATCCTGCTCATGCTACAACTTGCCTTTCTATCCATCTCTTGAATAACTTCTCTGGAAGGTTAGAAAGAAAAGCCTTTTTGTTTTACCTGAAAACATTCTTTTTTTTTTTTTTTCCTGTGATGATTTTTTTTTCTTTTTAGGGGATTAAGTGAGTTGTGATTCTGTTGCTTATGGATCAGTGAAACCTAGAGAGGAATATGAAACGTAACGGGAGAAGGCGAGTTTTTCTTTTTGGGTGCGTTAGTGATTGACGTAAAGGAGCACACTGGGAGGCATATGTTTCAGTTTTTTTTTTTATTTTATTTTTTTTTATTAAAGCTAACTTTGGATGGATGTCTTCCAGGACCAAAATTGAAGGAAAGCATCTTTGGTTTAGTTATTCTTTACCAAATACTTTGAGCTAATTTCTCTGAACGAATGCAAAAGCGAAGTACATTTCGCAATTTAAAAGCAAATGGTTCTCTTTGCAGAGGACTGGGTTGGTTGACGCATCTGTGGTACTCTTTACTCTCGGTGCCATATGACAAATAGGTACTTGAAGTTCTTTTGCAGTTTGCAATGATTACTTTGGACCAGGAGTAATGGGGGGGGGGGAGAGCTTGATTTATTGTGGTGGGACACGACAGACGGGAGGGGATAACGTGGGGACGTTCACTGTGGGGGAACACAGTGTTGATGAGGAAATGTGTGAAAAGTTAAAGCGGAAGAATCTTTAGGGAACTAAGGTGACCGGTTTTGGTCAAACCAAATTATATTCGATTTACATCAGTTATTTGACCGGCTGTGTAGACTCCAGGTGATATTCATAAAATATTCCTAGCTTTTAACATTGAATAAACTCCTTCCACATTGAACAGGATAAACATTTCTACATCAGACACTGGGATCTGAGGCAAGAAAAATCTGAACGTTGTTTTTTTCCTGAATGTAACTCCTCATTACTCACGTTTTTTGTTTTTCCGACTACTGGAGCTTCACATTCTCTATGCTTACTATTTTTTTTTTTGGTGTTGTTTAAACTGTTTAATGATTCTAGTTGTCGAAAGTATGAGAACTGTCATGGGAGCCGGCGGCGTTTCTGGATATTCAGTGATGTCTGGATATTTTTCACTGATTTGTTGCTACGGTGTGTAGAGAGTTGAGCCACGGTTTTAGGAAACCTTGGTTCGTCAAATGCTGCAAACGGGAGTCAAGAATGTGGAGACATGAACACGGGGGGTAACTATTACGAGGCTTTATGGAGAAAAATGACTGCTTATGTCTTTGTTCAGCCCACTATGTTCATTTATAACTAACATTTGTATAGTCGCAATGGTAACTTCCAGATCACCCTTTTTCTTTTATTTATTCCAAGTGTTCTAGTTCACATTACGGCTTTTACTTTAAGGCTGATTTGAAGAAACTTTGACCTTTCAGATGACTAAAGAAGGGCCAGCTTGAGTTTTTTGCCACACCTTTTATTTTTTTCTTCTTCCTGTACTGATTTATGCTGTTAAGTTTACAAACCGTACAGTGAACATAACCGCCAATAAAAGATGGATTTATGTTAAAACTGCTGCTTGTGATGTGTTGTTAGTGGGAGCGTCCCATGGTTAGTTATTGCATATTGGTGTTCAAACAATATGTTATGCCAGTTACAGATTAATAAATAATACTTTAGATAAATGTTCTTCTGTCTTCTGCATTACTATTTAAACGGTATGAATTGGGACATATTAGGACCGTGACCTTTGACAGGGACAACTTTTTAAAAAAATATTTAAACTATCAATTATGCAAAATAATGATAATAATTTGGGAATCAGGCACATTTGACTGTATATTTTTTTCTGACACTTGGCATTAAAAAAATGATTTTGCTTCATCAAAATGGAGCCGATTCATCAAGATACTGATGAAGTGATAATGTAAATATGACACGACAGTGGGGGACCTTTGACCTTTGAGATGATTAAAGAAGTCGTTCCTTTCATAAAAGAAGTTCTGAAAGCCGGCAGGCAGCGGGCGGAGGGATTTCTGCCCGCTCTGATTTCGAGAAGGTGTTTTATATTATTATTATCTTGAACGTGAACATCACGGACATTTGAGTGCAATATTGTTTTAAAATCGCTGACGACGCTCGACACGCAGGCTGACGGTCCTTCGTGCTCAGCCAGCCCACTCTGCACCGAGATAAGAAAGGCTAATCTGTAACTAGTCCTCAGGTTTCCACGGCGCTCAGCCGCATTCCACAGGTGGCGCTGAGGCAGACTGAGCTCCATCCGCCGCTCTGACCTCGCAGCGTCCTCGCGCTCACTTCCAAAGTTATTTCATTTCATTTTTTTTCTTCTCGAATGACCAGAGATATCGAGATGAGTTTTAAAAAGAACAGCGGTCAAATGGAGCTGGAGGAAGCCATCAGAAACCCGGGCTACAAGGACGCGGACGACGGCGGCGGGTCGACGGACACCCGCAGCTCGGGCACCGGGGAGCGGCGGCGCGCCTCCTCCTCCGCCGCGGTGGTGAAGCTGGACGCGGCTGCGGACGAGTACGCGCAGGTCAAGCCGTACGCCGGGATGCCCAAGGAGGTGCTGCTGCTGCACTCCTGCAGGGCGCGGTACCGGGTGCCCCGGGAGATCCTGTTCTGGCTGGTGGTGTGCTGCACCCTGGCGCTGGTGGCCGTCACCGTCACCATCATCGCCTTGTCCCCGCCGTGCCTGCGCTGGTGGCACATCACCCCGGTCTACCAGGTCTACCCCCGCTCCTTCAAGGACTCTGACGGGGATGGAGTCGGAGACCTCAAAGGTCGGGTGCGGTCGTTTTTAGTATTTATTATCACTGATGAAAGAAAATACATGATTTACAGTCCTTTTTAAAATATAACAAGTAGTGCCCCTTGACTGTGATACACCCAAATATAATCTCACAAGAAAGTCACATCATTTGCCAATGGAGACGATCTCCATCTTATCTGGAGTTCTCAAGCTATCTGTATGGTGAGACATGATGGTGGCAGCGTCATGCTGTGGGAATGGCTTTCTTTCCACACGCAGCAAGTTAAGGTGATTCTGGAGTTTAGAGGGACTGCAGCTCACCTCGAAGCAACACTTTCAATTCAGTCACACATACGTTTCTAATAATCCCAGTAATTGTTTGAAGCAGCTTCAAAAAGTATTTTAAGGAAACCCGGCAGACTGTACGGAGTTGCAGCGAGCACGCAGCAACAGCAGAAACTCGCCGGCGTTGTTTTACTGGCTTTACAGAGATCCTCACGCCGAGCACGCATTTAGCGACAGAGAAGAAAAACATCCCTTTTAACAGGAAGAAACCTCCAGCCGAACCAGAGCCTGGCTCAGCATGACTGACTGGGGTTCGAGAAGAATACAGAAAAACTAAAAGCGAAACACGACTATTCTGAACTTTTGCGAGGTTTTAACTTTTCAGAAATACAAGATTGTTTTGTATCTTTGATAACATTCTGGCTTAGCGATTATAATCAGATTGACTTCAGACTGAAACATTATTTTTTTTATCTGTTCATTACTATAATGAGAATGTTGTGTAACAGAGCAGTAAAATGCTGCTCTGTTACACAATCAACCATTTACTTTGATCAATAACAATTCAGTATGATGTATCTGTCAAGGCCAGGTCAGAAACTACTGACTCTTTGAAACTTCATAAAACTACATTAAGAGTAATCCAATGGAGTTGTAATCTGAGTACTTCTGTAACTGTAACTGTGGGCCCATGCAGGAATCAAGGAGAAGCTGGACCACTTCCTGGACCTGAACATCAAGGCGGTGTGGATCAGCCCTTTCTACCGCTCTCCAATGAAAGACTTCGGCTACGACGTGGAGGACTTCAGGGATGTCGACCCGCTCTTCGGAAACATGCAGGACTTTGACGAACTTTTGGCTGAAATGCACAACCGGGGTGTGTTTTTGTTGTTCTGTTTTTCGGAGACGTGGAAGTGGGGTTTTCTGGTCTCGTGTCAAGATTGATGATGACAGATTGAAGTGTCATTCCTTCCTGTCTCTCCTTCCCAGGTTTGAAGCTGATTATGGACTTCATTCCCAATCACACCAGTGACCGCCACCGCTGGTTCAACCTGAGCCGGACCAGAGATCCTCACTACAAGGATTACTACGTCTGGACGGACTGCGATCCAGCTTTCCCGAAGCCCAACAACTGGGTTTGTGCTTGTGCTGCTGTTTCACACGGCGCTGGGTACTTTTTCTCATTTTTCCGGTGCTGATCGCGTCCTCCGCTTGTCACGCAGGTGAGTATTTTTGGAAACTCCTCGTGGACTTACGATGAGGTCAGAGGGCAGTGTTACCTGCACCAGTTCCTCAAGGAGCAGCCAGACCTGAACCTGAGGAACCCCGACGTCGTTCAAGAGATCATTGTAAGATGCCGATTCTTCAGAAAACTTTATGACGTAGTAATCTTGCATTGCTGCTTCACAAACCGTATGGTAGTCTGATGAAGGTAACAAGAAAAAGTGTGACATTCCTAATCAAATGTGCATTTTCATTCTTTCTCTGCAGGATCTCATCAGTTTCTGGCTGGAGAAGGGGGTGGACGGCTTCCGGATGGACGCGGTCAAACACATGCTGGAAGCGGCGCATCTGAGAGACGAGCCACAGGTGGATCCAGACAAGCCGCCGGTGAGCGCTCCCTTCTGACCTCACCACATGCGATCACGTTACAAGCACAAACTCCGATGAACTTCATCGGGATGGTTGAGTCTACAAACTATTGTCCATCAAGCCGCCTTTTGTGACCTGATGGCCAAAAAACGTTGTTGGTTTTATCAGCCCAGATCTTTTTCTTCCATGTTTGCTGTACTGAGATGAACTTTAAACTGGACTGCTAATGGCTTTGTGTTTTAACAGTAGGTTCTTTTGTTTTGTTTCACCACTTACATGCTAAAATGATGGAGTACGCAACTTATGGTCTCTGGAAAATAGGTGGACGGCCATGTCTTGGGACATAAAATACAAATGAAATACACAGAAGGTTGTGGTTTTAATGTGACCAAATGTGGAAAAAAATTAAGCACGACAACATCCAAATGAATCGATTCTGTTGACCAAACGCTGTCCACATTTTCACAAGCGAACGACGGTGCAGAGCATAAAAACATTTTCCTTCTTTTCCCACGACGATATTCTCACAAATCCTCCGCTTTTTTTTTTTTCTCCCCCACCCTCTCCGCTCGTCGTGTTAAATTTTAATTGCCGCTGTAACTCCCACCGCTCAAAGTTCAGCTCGGTTAACAATCCCCGCTTTAACCTTCCGTTATACAATCCCGACTTTATTTCATTGACTCATAAAGTGGCGTGTCAGAATCCAGATTAGAATAATGAGATGCATGAAAGCAGCGGCGTGGGCAGAAACACCTCGGCCGACCGAACGGCCCGTAACAGCTGAGTGGGATGTTTCTCGCTGTACGCCGTGTGCCGTTTATTATTTATCGCTGGCTTAAATGTCAGGTTCATCCTGCGCTTTTCTTAAGAAAACACTGTAATTGCAATTCAAAAGACTTAATGACACACTCTGACATAAGTAAAGAAAACCTTGCGGAGGCAGCTTTTGTTTTTTTTTCTTTTTCTCCTCACCCTCCTCCCCAACAGAAAAGATTAGTAGAAAAGAAGCATATTTTAGAGGATTAGCAAGTCACTGGGATTTACTGACCACTGTGGACTAATGCTGTGATGCTGGGACTGACTCAGACTTTGATTTTAGATCACACGTGCAGAGTTTTACATCTTCAGACTATCAAACTAAAGTTATTTACAGTCTGCTGTAAAATTGGAAACACAGCTATAAACTCATCTGCAGATTTTTATAACTGCGTGTCTGCGCCATAATTTCTGCTTTAAACATTTATGGCTGGTAATAACTGTAAAAAAACCCAAAATAACAGCTTGTTTGTGAGTTAGTGGTTGGCATAATGGCTCGTTTGTTCGGTGATGATGTAAGCCGAGTGGCTTGGACTTACCCAGGCAACCGGACGCATCAGCTGTTAGTCACTGGCCTTTTAAAACAGAAATTGAGGAGCGAAGCAGGTTGATTCAGTGAAACATGTAACGCTGAAATAGAAGTAAGACACATTGGCCACTAACAAGAAGTGACCTTCTTTCTTGTTCTTGAAAACAAAACAAAAAAGGTTCACCTGTAAATTAGAGGGAAACTTTCCTTCACTTCTGCTTGACTTACCAAGTCAAAGTCAGAGTCTTGTATTTGTTTTCTACTTGCATCCCATCAGCCTAACCTGGAACCAGCCTGAGAAAGCAGTCTGATTTCGAGTCGAGCCCTTCCTCAAACAAAAATACGTGGAAAATCCACTTGACTCTGTCCTGAAAAAATGACTGAGTCCTTCCTGCAAATCCTCTACCATCTTCTTTAAAAATGTCCTTTAATGCTTTCGCATTTCAGGAATTAGTAACGACAGAGTGGGACTTGTACCATGACTACACCACCAGCCAGGTGGGCTTGCACGACATGCTGAGAGAGTTCAGAGCAGTGATGGACGAATACAGCCGGGAACCTGGCAGATACAGGTAGGAGTGCATGCAGACTGCAGCGCCGCACATAAACCTCCAGTGAAATTGTTTTTATCAAAAAAGCCGGGCCTCGAAGTAGAAGCACATTGTGATAGATTCCCTTGTAATTAAGGTTAGTTTATTTCAATGATTTCATCCAGAAAGGGAAACTCATCTTACAGACATTCATTACGAACGGAGGCTGTAGCATAATAATTCGTAGTAAATTATTTGTAGTGGTTTTATGCAAGACTTTTTCTATGAAAAATAATGTTTTGTTTTTTTATCAGCTGCAAACCATGAACATCACAATAAAGTGAAAACACACACTGTGTAATGAATCACTATAGGATTTTCCTGGATCTTATCAGAAGAACACATTTGGCCAATAAACTATATTGTAAGATAATTTCAGATTTCTTTATGGCTACCTCTAAAGTATAAAAACAACACACCATGGGTGGAGTGCACGCATTTTTTCAGCAGGTTTAAGACTGAAGGCATATTTACTTAATGATTTCCATGTTTGTGTCAGAACAGTTTCGTAAGAAATGGCAGCTCAGTTTGTGTACCGTCTCACATGTAACCTGGGTTTTTATTGTTCTGCAGGTTCATGGTGACAGAATCCTATGACTATGAAGAGGTGGATAAGACCATGATGTACTATGGAACGCCGCTAGTAAAAGAAAGTGACTTCCCCTTCAACTTCTACCTGCTGGACCTGCCTCACAACACCAGCGGCTGGTGGGCTAAACATCTGGTTGACCTCTGGATGTCCAACATGCCCAAAGGAAAATGGCCTAACTGGGTGGTAAATATCTACTTAGTTCTTCTAGAATAATAATAATAATAAAAAATGATGCCCTTTTAAGTATGTTGCAATTTATTCAAATAGATATAAAAAAAGATAAGATCCATATTCTCTTCTGATAAGGAGAAAAAGCCACATATTTATGACAGCAAAGATGATGTTGCGTTTTCAGCATTTATGATCACAATACAGCAGTTGGTTTGAATAAGGGTTGTCTATTTTCTGACCCAGGTATTTAAATGAGTCTTCTTAATATTTGTACATGCTGAGTGAACTGAGTACAGATATGTAGCATTCTCAAAGTCATGTCAAGTTTATTTGTATCATAAGAAAGCAGTCTAAAGGGCTTTATGGCATAAAAACATAACATTGTAACCAATTATAAACAAGCAATAAGCATCACATTCGGTCATATCTGTTGATCGATGTTCCATTTAATACCAATCAAAGGCAGACATAAACAGGTGGGTTTTAGCCATGATTTAAAGGAACTCAGTGTTTCTGCAGTTTTGCAAGTTTTCTGGAAGTTTGCTCCAAGTTGGTGGCGTGTGGAAACTGAAAGCACCTGACACTAAGGCTCAGTTCACACATTCACTCACAAACATTCACATATTCATAGACTGACACACACATTATTAGAATACTTTGGGGCATGTTAACATATGCTGGGACAGCCCTCAATGTTTAAAGCGCAGACTGACCATTGAGGAACAGTTGTCCGCCATCAGTGCTACAAGGCCACGCTGGGAATCGGGATCAGCAGGTCAAATCTGAATAAATCTGCATTAATTTCAGTTTGGGGATTCTATAAAAATTTTTTTTTTTTGGTGCACAACTTTTAAGTTTCTCTATTGAGACTTTTTAACTTGAGATATTTTTTTCCCAACAAAAACTTATCAGGTAAAGTCTTCTAGCTCGATCTCATTCACCTCTCCACCTCTTACCTCCACTGTAACCAGGTCGGAAACCACGACAGGCCTAGAATCGGCTCCAGTGCTGGTCGGATTTATGTTCGTGCCATCAACCTGATGCTACTGACGCTCCCCGGCACACCGACGACTTACTACGGCGAAGAGATTGGCATGGAGAACATTAATATCACACAAAGCCAAGTGCAAGACCCTGCTGGGAAATACAACGTGGTCAGTAGAGTTCGTACTGTGAACAAACACTAAAAACAAATGTATACAAAAGTATGACTTTTAATTCATGGCATTACAAAAAAAAGGGTTCAAGAAAAGTAGGCTTTATTGTTGGGTAGCTGTAGTTATTGTGTATGAGGTCAACTGGAGTATAATCATTTGTATTCTTTGACCTCAGAGTCTCAGTCGGGACCCTGAGCGATCTCCGATGCAGTGGAATAGTGAGAAGAACGCTGGTTTCAACACCCAAACCGACAAGACCTGGTTACCTGTTCATCCCAGTTACGAAACTGTCAATGTGGAGGTATGTGACATCTAACGCAACACAGAGAAAACCCGATAAAAGACAGTTCTCATATCCGTCTCACTGTTTTTACTTTTGTCCATTCTTTTCCCTCAGGTCCAGAGTAAAGAAGAAGGCTCCGTTCTCTCTCAGTATCGCTTCTTGAATGGGCTGCGGCAGTCGGAGCTCCCTTTTTTGCGCGGCTGGTTCTGCTACGTCCTCTCCGACGCCAACGTTTTCTCTTACCTCAGAGAGCTCGATGGGCACAAAGAAGCGTACCTCATGGTGATTAACTTCGGCAAAGGACCCAGCACAACGGATCTCTCTGCTGTCAAGGAGCTGCCCGACGAGCTCCGAGTGCTGATGAGCACCAACACAGCCAACAACCAGAAAGTTTTCCAGAAATCCCGCATCCAGACAGAGGCGGGAGAGGGTTTGGTCATACGGTACTCCACCTACACTCGGTTCCATCCCAACCATCCCGCACAGTGCTATGTCTCCGAGAAGGCCTGCTACTTGGAGACTGTTGGCATTCTTTACAAATGCTAAAGCAATTTAGCTTTTACGTGAACTGTACGGTCTTGTAAATCGATTTACAGAGGTTGTCTTGAGGTGTCTTGATTCAAAAGGGATAATGGAGCACAATAAAGCAAACGCTTGTCGATGAATTCACTGGAGGTGACTTCTTTCTTCTTCCCGTACAGAGTGGAAAACGTGGTCGTCACAGTGATGTAAATACAGCTCTGCTTTTCTCACTGCCTCTCCACAGCTGAGCTATCTCTTCCTCTTGCGTCGAGGTCGTGGAGTGTCCAGGTTCAGCTCCGTGTATAGAAACGCAAGCTTAAAAGCCTCCTGTGTCAGGCAGAAAACACACTTTTTTGTGAATTTAATGGAAAGTATGTTAGCCAAATTATGACCAATATTGTAATATTACCTATAACTACCAACACATAGATGAGGTAAATTAAAATTAAATAACCTAGCTTCTATTGACACATTTCATTCTTGTCCAGGGTAGAAAGATCAAAGAACTTCAATGGTCTTTAAAGTTTTCTTTTTTTTTTTATGTGGATTTTCTCAAAGAAGCAATAATTTCCTCAATCTGGCTTTGGCAACTTTTGGTAGAGCTCGTTTAAATTGGTTGGTTTCCTGCCACAAACCCATGATGCCGTGACGCTATCATGAAGTGGAACCTTCTGCTTCTGGACAGATTCCTTCCAGTGTGACTGAAATTTCCAGCTGCCATCATGGACAAGCCGGATGCCTTCAGGAGAAAGGTTTTAAGGCAAAAGTCGAGCTATTGTGCAACAAAGACAACGGTGTTCGGAGGAGGCGTGGCTTTCAAACGTCACTGCATTAACTCGTCTCATCAAGGTGCTGGTGAATTGCTCAAACTGGATGAAATAACCCAGAACACACATTGGAACTGGTTTTGGACTGGACAGTGGAGACTTGCATGAGGTTTGTGGCCAGGCTTCAATCTTAACTCAACTGAAAATGTATTCAATAATTGGAGAGTGTCAGGAAACCAAAGACGACTGGCCAAACATCCAGCCAGGACTATCACAGGAGTTTGTTTCTAGATATCAGAAAGTACGATTTCTGTACTTCACCTCCCTGTTCCTCTCTCTTTCTGACTCACCTCTTCCAGCATTTGAACAAAATCTTCGGGACCAAGATGGTTTGCTCCCGGTCGGACATTCAGAACTATGCTCGGTGCTGATTCACAATCTGAAGGAAAGAAAACAAAAGCAAAATGGAAGAAAATGGCCTATTTTTAGAAATCGCCTTCATCTCACTGCGAACCCAGTATCTCTACGTCAAACTGCCCCACTCCATGTTATCCACCTCCCTCCTTTCTGTGGTACGGACTGATTCACAAGTACGGTCTTGACCTTGACAGCTCCCCTGTCTGTGGAGTCTAATCTCTTGCTCTGATACGCTATCTCTTTACCATGCTAATGGGCCTTCCCGCCCGCCTCCATGCGCCTGTGCCATCAGCACTTTATCAAAGACTCAGGAGAACAGAGAGACAGATTAGGGAGACATCTCCCCACAAACGCAGGCACCGAAGCTGCTAGGTGCGCGTGAACAACGTGGGTGCGAAATGGTGGAGGAGAGAGATAATACGTGCATTTGAAGCTGGAGGAGACGAGGCAGAGATAGAGAGAGAGAGAGAGTGTGGTGTAAATAAGGAGTACCACCAACGTCTTGAAGGAAGATTATAAGTGAGAGGGAGAAAGAGCCTGTCTGTGGGGAAAAAAAAGAGAGAGCAATTAGCTGACACATGCACAGGTTTTACCACAAGGTGACCAATGCTGCACGGTGGAAAGACTTCCCCCAGACACCCGTACATCTATTACCGCTGCCTCCGCTGACCTTCACACTGACACTACTATTGGGGGATGACCCAGAGCTATAAAACCTCCGCTGAAGAGGAAATGACTCCTGGAAGAATACGGAGCATCTCCATGGGGTCTAAATTGCACCGACGGCCCGGTCCAACGAAAAGATGCATTAAAACATCGACTGGAGAGGTTCTCTGAAAACAACCTCACAGGTGTGCTGCAAGGGAGACGATGCACAGCAAGAAAAGCTTTCCGGTATAAATACGAATAAAGTATACCATCAAACAAAACAAATGGCTGTCACTTTCATCTCAGTGGCTGTAGCGCTCTGATTATAGACAATTATTAAAATGGAGTCTGTATGTAAGTACCTGCGTTTTGCTTCCTGTTTAGGTGCGTATGAATGGCTTCCTTTACATATTTGGTGTATTTGAGGACGCCTTCCAGAGGAATCCTAGGATCACCGCTGTAGGCTGTCAGCAGCATAGATGGGTAGCGCTGTTTCACACAGAAAGAATGGGGAAAAAAAACATAAATTAAGAATATCTAATTCTTGAAAGAATCATAAATTTAAGGTTTGAAATGACAGATGAAAATAAATGCACAAAGTGAATTCTACATGTTTTTTTTTGTTGTTGCATTGCGCCACGTAACAAAATCAACACAGATGTTAGTTTAAGAGAGTGAAGCAGCAGAGGAAGCAGCTTCTTCATACCTGAGGAGTGATGTTGTGAAGGGGACAGTATGAAGCGACGATGTGTCTGTGATGCAGGTTTCCCACGGCGTCCCCCCACTCGTCTCTGTCCTCCACAGTCAGAGGCCGAACGGCTGTCTCCATCGTCCCCAACACGTCGAGGAAAGGAGCCTGCACAGAGACACGGGGATGCCTTCACATCTGCAGGGTTTCTAGAAATGTTGCATTTCAAAAAATTTCAAGATACAAATTTACTTTTTTTTTTCTTGTATTTTTTTTTCAAGCTCGTTTGTATTTCGTTCAAGTACAAAAAGTGCAAAACGGTTACACTTGCTCCACAAATCACAAAACAGAAAGATATAGAAGTTTTATTTCAGCAGAATGATACAGGACAACCTTACTGATTTCAGACCAGTTTAATCTATTTAGATCAGCTCTATAATAGAATCTGTAACATTTAATACGTTTTAACCTGAACTCTGACCATAAATACAAATTCTATGTTTCTGAATACCTCAAAGGTGAAAGATCATCTATAGATTGATGTAAAAAGTTTTTAGTTTTTCTGAAATTTGGCACTGTTTGGATACATAATAATAATGTTATATTAAAAACAATGTGTAAAACATTTTAACCCTAAATATGGATGAAACCCAGCCCTCACTTGAGATGAAGTGATGAAAACACAGACCCTGACACATTCAACATCTTACCTGCAGTGTTGCAGCACGCATCATGTTTGGCTTCCAGTTGCACAGCGCCGCCACTGGCACGGCTCCAGCGCTGCAGGCTGTGAGGGCGGTGAGAGAAGCAGAGGAGACTCCCGAAGAGAAAAGCTCCTGGAGGCACGCGTGGAGGTCCTCCGCTCCCCTCCGCTTCCCTTCCACCCGGGCTTGTCTGTGCCAAGAGAGGCCGCGCTCCCCACCGCCTCTACGCGCAGAACAGAGACGATCGCCAGCAAATTCTTTTTGGATATGCACAGTGTCTTCCGCTGCAGTGTTAAGTGTTCTCCATAAAATCAAACTTTATTAGTGTTTGAGAGAGTGACTTGCATTACTATGCCATTATGAATAAATGTTCTCAAAAACAACAATATTATTGTTTATTTCAAAAATTACTGGCCTATTTATCGTCCAGCAACATTTGTTATTGTGACAAGCCTACACATTTAAAAGTTTGATGTTTTTAATGGTAATGATTTTAGTACATTACACGTGTAGAAGATGATGGCACTTTTTAAGAGTTGTTGAACAATCCAAGTATGTAAAATATAGTTGAAGCCAATCTCAAGTTTTCTCAAGGATATTTATGTTCAGATGTGGGTTTTGATAGATGAATATGATAGATCAGGTATTCTTTCCTGACTGATTCACAGCGGCCATCTTTCACTGCTTCCACTCAGATTCCTGACGGCTCTGCACACTAGGAAAGTGGAACCCTGCCAGATTTTAGGAAAAATAAAACTGGAGTGCACAAAGGAAACCTGTAGCTCAATCTGACAAGAATCTAAACTAAAAAGGTTCTTTTTACAACATTTAGTAAGCTTGTTGCAAATAATCTAGAAAAATCTAAAGTGTTTTTTGTTGTTTTAAATCACAAGAAGGATGATGCCTTACCTAATATGACAGTAGGCCAGAGCCCAGCCTTGCTCCAACAGAAAACGTCTCACTGGGCAGAACTCCATACTGAGGTCTCTACCATAAGCTCCATATACGTGAACAAGCAAAGGCGCCTGACTCAGATCCTCCACATTTGCGGCATGGAGAAGCGTCACCGGCACTGAAGTGCCATCCTGATAAAAGAACCGAACAGCAGTGGATGTTTTTGCTGGTCAAGGTGCGACAAGAGCATAAACATCTCAGTTTACTCTGTGAGTTTGTTTTAAAGACGCTCTTACTTGGCTGCAGGCCTTCAAGCGTGTGGTGATGTACTTGCGGTGACTCTCAGAGTGGGCCTGAGTTCCTGGGTCTGACAACAAGAGTCCTTTCTCAGGATCCAGCGAGAATGGGACGGGTGGGTGGACTGGAGACGATAAGAGGAACTCTAACACGTCCTGCTGGCCTGCCACGCCCGGTTTCTTGGTTTCAATAGCGCAAGCCCAGGAGGGGAGCTTAGGAATGAAAGCAGAAATATATATATGGAGTAGAAAACAACCAAAACAAAAAGAACATGAAAGAATAAAATAGGCAGAAAATTTAGAAGGACTTTTCTTCCAAGTTATCCCATCTCTCACACTGACCTCTATAAAGTATGTCTCTTTGGGATTGCACAGTGACATCACGCCTAGAGCGAGTTCATTGGCTGGCGTCTTTAGAACCAGCAAACAGTAGTCTCCAACTACATCCATGTCTTTGATAGGAGTGTCAGGGTCGGGGACAAATAAAGTCGCCCATGAAGCTCTTGACGGCTCAGATGTGGGAGATTGCATCACCTAGTAAACAGAAAGAAGACACACATAATGTGAAACAAGAATAACAGATATGCACATGCATGTTGCTTGAAATAACCTAATACTTTATGAGGAATCAAAGGTAGCTGATGATGACATGCAGTATCTTGAAGGTATTCAAACCACATTTTAACCACCATAAGTGTATTTTGTTCGGCTTTTGTGCGGCAAACGCAAGGTAGAACAAAATAGAGAGATTGGAGGAAGAATGACATGTGGCTTTCAAAAGCTTTCGCAAGTAAATATCTGAAAAATGTGGAGTCAATTTGTACACAAAGCACTTTCCTCTGAAATCCCGGAACAAAGACCAGTGAATCCAATGGGCTTCAAAAGTCAATTCATGATCGCTGTTCATCTGTGTGTTACGTAATCTCTGTATAAATCTCTCTCTTTTTTGTTTGAGGTCATTAGTGAAAAATGAGCTCTAATAAGAATTATAATTAAAATTGTACACTTTTCCAGACATCCTTTCCCTTTTTCTGGTAGTTTCTAAAATATTATAGATATTTGACTACATAACTTTGCTTGCAGAGACATCTGTAAACAAAGTTGAGGTTTCATTGTCTGTGTGTTCGATGTAACTTGAAATAACATGATGCTTGTTTTCAAAACAATTGGCAATTGGCTGTTTAGTAAACAGTTTTTTTTAGATATTTATTTATAAAGGTCTTTATTTGTGTCCAAATAAAGATTAATTTAACAGCATGTCACAATAAGAACCACAGAAACAACAACACACAAACATTAATATTTAACGAGAAGGCATGACACTAAATTCCCTTGCTTCAACCAACAGTGGTTGAAAGCACAAAACATCTGGAATACCTTGAATCAATTCATCATTTAACATATGTAACTACTAGACCTTAATGTAGGACAGATTACAGAAATTTTAGCTACGCAAAATTTTCAAAAATGACATAACTCTTTGGCACCTAAACCAGAACAACAGACCCAATTGACATATTGATCTCAGAGAAGCTAAAAGCCCAAAATGAGGAATCAGCTGTAATAATTAGGCATTAGAGTCCATTCACCAGACAAAGGCACTGAATATGAGGTATGAACCAACTGCATAATCCATCGACTGCATATCATTTTTATTTTATTTTTTTAAGTCTTACATGCATTTACATTACTGTGAATATTCAGTTTTTTTTCTCTTAGATTCATTTTGATAAGTTGCTGTTGAAACTCTACCTGATACTCCTGTCCTGGCCCAGTATTAGCCAATATAATGAGGGATCCTTTCCAGTGCTCCACATGGTAGAGGAGGCCCGGCTGACGAGGCTGAATCACAAAAGGCTCTAAATGGGACTTTGTCACATCAATCAGCATCACCTCTGAGCTTGTTCTACTGTTGCAGTTAATGGCGAGGATCTGTCGGTCTCTGGACAGGGCAACCTCCACAAACACACTGCGGAGAGGATGGTACGGTTTGGGTTACTTGGTTAATTATTTGACAGAAGGAAGACGGTTTACCTGACCCAACGCTAACACGCACTCAGGTTGAGTTTCCTGGTACACGGACGTTACTTTGCTGCTGCCTTCGGTTTCGAGGTCCAGGCGAAACACGGAGCTGGAACTCAGGCCTTCCAGAGTTGTGTAGAACAGGACATCATCCGTCGCCCACTCTTCACAGATGGACATAAACATAAAAGCCGAGATCAATGCAAACTGCATCTCTACATCCATTCATTTTAGGTTTTCAGTGCTTAAAATGATCTGATTCGTAATTTGTTCTGTCATTTAAATCTAGTGTCAAGTTCACAAAACCACATATTACAGATTCCACAAGTTTCTAATACATAAATAAAAAGATAAAGGCAAAATGGTAACATAGGAAAGATAAATTAAAAACAGAAAACACATCCAATTCTTAGCGATAAAAGGGATGCATTTATTTTTACTACAACTGCATATTAGGTATGCTTTGTTTTAACTCTGTAATCTTTGGCACGGCTGAATTATTCCAAAACATTTTTGGATATTTACCAAAGCTGAAGACGCTCTGTAGCTCAAGAAGGATGTAGTGGGGGGGCAAAATGGAAATAATTCTCTCTCCAAGTCTCACAACAACACACCTAGATTATTACAGTGAAAAAAATGAACAATTAAAAGTGTGGCAGTCAACATTTTGGAATAAGTTACACCTCCATGTTTAATTTACTTGAGCTCTTCTGTGTGACAACATTTCAGTGTGGCGGCGAGATGCTTTTCACGTGGAGACAGACGAATTCTCTGAATTGTCCACTGAAACCTCTCATCACTCTCAGCTCTCGTCCTCCTGTCCGCCCTCGACACATGCTCCAGATTTAACACCTGCTCAGGCTCTGGAGTACCTAAAAATATGGAGGATGAGGAAGAATTAATGTCTGTGTAAATGTAATTCCTATCCCCTTGAAAATATATGCTCATTCCTTGCTTACGATCTCTTTTGTCTATTCTGTAGATGCCGTCAACTTTCGTGAAGTACACATGGTGACATCCACACACCTGGAATGGGACAATCCGCAGGAAGTTGAAAGAGTGAATATTATACTTTCTTTTAATCACCCAGACACTAACTTCACAATGTAAACCACAACAAATGACTACAACCCTGAATCTTGTCTTACCACGGAGTAATCAGGTATACTGTGGAACCTGTGGTATGTTGCCTTCAGTCTCCTTACAAAATACTTCTTTAATTGCTGGTACTTGTCAGATCCAGAGCTCAGATGATCGGATGACAACCCAAAAGCTTCCTGAAGTATAAATTCAAACCAAACAAGAACACTTATCAATGATGGAGCAATATTACACTATCAATAACCTAAAGGCGTTCCTTGACCTCATTACATCTTCTTTTCATCACAAAAGATATAGAAACACACTTGAAAATCACTAAAGGAAATTTGTATTGTTTTTCATTTATTTTTAATGTTGCTGAATAAAAAAAAGCACAAGCAATGAGGACATATTTATTTCAACAACGTGAGCGTGATCATCTATTAAAATGCACTAGGTTGGAGTAACGCAGCATGAAATCATGTTTTAATTTTTACATACTTTAAAGTAGTCCTAAGTCCTTGTGCTTTTTTTTAAAATTTACATTACAAAAACAACAAACTTCAATACAATTTCTTGGGATTTTATGGGACAGACACAGAGAAAAGCATCCTTTTGAAGCAGTCCACTGCAGTCTGATCTACTGTGGTTTACTGCGGCGATGGTTGAAGCGGCATTAGCTTTCTATCACACAAAGCATTGTGAATGTAGGCCAAAAAGTGAACCGTTTCTGACTGCTGTTCCTGGTGAAGAAAAGCCAAACCCACAGCATGATACAGCCACCACCAGATTTAAAAAAAAATAATTTTTATGGAGATGGTGAGTTCAGGGTCATGTGTAGTGCTAGTTTTGCATGTCAATTTTGACCAATATGTGGGTTTGTTTGCTCTCCCATAAAGGACAGGATTGCAGCTAAACGCTGTCACGTTATAAATGTGTTACGACAACACGTGAAAGCTAAAGTTAAGCATCCCAAAAAGTGGTGGGGGGGGTGTCACTGTCAACCAAAAGCCATCTGCTGTTCGATTTAGTGCTCGTTTTAACCACTTGGTAAAGAGACTTCAAACAACCCCAAGCGAACCGTGAACATGAACTTCACAGTTCCCTGAACGTTCTTACCGAAGTGTACCGGCGCTGGACGGATAAGGACAGCCGGGCTCTGCGTTTAGAAACCCGAAGGTCCCAGAAACAAACCCGAGAAACACGGAGCAGCGGAGCCGAGGAGAGCAGCAGTGAACGCAAACCTGTCATATCCAACACTGAACCTTTAATTGGCCATTTCAGCGTTTGCGGTCAGTTAATTCGCTCGCTATAACAGCAGAGAGCTGCGTCTGCTGTTCCAAGGCTGGGAAGAAAGGATACACGCACTTAAAGCGTTAATATTTACAAATTGGTTGTGAATTCACATTCGTTTATGAGCTAGCGACGGAACAGCTCGAAACTAGCTCGGCGACGCAGCCAGAAAAAAAAACCAGGCCAAAACAATCGAGCTGGCTCACGCGCTGCAAACTGTTTCAATAGAAAATCGAGTGCGATGTTGTCAGCCGGTGATTAGTTTGCCTGAAGTGACAAATGTGTACGGAAGCAGCATGTTCCAGGTGGTGTGAGTCAAGACGTGTGAGCTTTTGTAGATTTTGTAGTTTTAAAATAAGCCATGCTTTTCTAAATACCGCTCGACAGCTCTAACATTGATAACTGTGACAGCTTTATAGCCCGGAACTTGTTTACAAATATATATATATAGATATATCCGCTTGGGTATTGAAGAGTTGAGATGGAGAAAGGCTCCACAGGCGCTACAGAAAAGACCCAGTCGGCTTTGCCTTGTAAGGACGAGAGTGACGAGGACTCCAGCGGCCCAAATTCCCTCAACTCCGAGGAAGCAACCTGTGGCGCTACTGCAGGTCGAGCGAGATGGACTCTGCTGAGACAGGTACAAGAACGAATTTGAATTGAAATGGAAACAAAAGCACATTTTCAACTGCACACACTGTGCTTCTGCAGTACCTGAAGAAAGCAGGGGTTTGGATAGGTTTGTGCTGAAGCGAATTGCTTGTTTATAGATGAGTGTCGAAAAATAAAAGCTCGTAAATTAGAATGACGACCTTTTACGTGCTCTTACAAATGATGCTTTTCGTCCATTAGTGCTAAGTTCACTGAACCCATGCCCTCAAGTCTCCAGGCATATATGGATGTCTTTACCTGCTTTCTACATCTGGAGATATTTGCTGACAGTATTTTTGGTGAAAACATCAATCCAACAAGAGATTCTGAATGGAATTCAGATGTGGACTTTGACTGGGCCTCTCCTAACACATCAGTATGCTTTGATCGAACCATTCCATTAGTTTAGGTCAGTCACCTAAACTAAATGAATCAAACTTTGGTTCGCCGTTCAAAATATTTAAAAAAGTTGATTTGGCCTCATTTATCAGCAACATATGACACTCGAATTTAAATTAATTGTTCCACTTCATGTGAGATCTGCCCAAAATGTTATTATGGATAAAGTAACACTTGCTGCTGTTTAAAATGCTGAATTTATAAGAAAAAAATACCTACAACTCTGATTTTAGAACAACACACACAGATTCAATTAGACTCAATGTAAATAATGTAGAAAAAACTAAATAGTTAAGATGTTAAGCTATGTTTGATTCAAAAGCCAAAGAGTGGATGCATGGAATATTAGAAGATCATTTAGACATGACAGATCCTATAAATAGATTGATGCAAGAGTCATTAAGAAGCTATAGTAAAGAAAAACAAACAAACATGTGTTTTCATGTGCAAACTGAAGTTGATCAGCCGTGTTTCTCTTACAGGTGTTGTGTCAGAAGCAGACAGACAGTCCTGAGGTCAAACAGGTGTCTGTTCGTAGGTTTGCCACCTTTGACCTTTTCAGAAGGAAAAAACTCTCAGCACAAGAACACTGTGATACCTCAGATGACCAGTGGGTGGAGTACAGAAGTGTCTACTATCCTGAATACGGTGCCTTCCTCAGGTGAACACACCATTTCAAGATTTCACAAAAAAGCATTAGCGTGACCATAACCAGTCACAAACACTTTCCTGGTGTGTTGGTTTTATGTTTGAGACTAAGAGCATTGCTATTTAAAATATGTTGTTAGGTATAGCCAACCAAACTTTGTAAGGTATCACTTATAGGTGAGTTTTGTACTTGTTTCAAAAGTTGTTTGGTTCATCTCAAAATATTCCAAATATTATTATCTGAAACACATGAATCAAAAAATTAAAAACAAGATATTTGCAAGGGAATTGTTTTTTCACAGATATGTACTTGTATGAAAAAAATATATAGAGGACTGTGCAGACTATTTCATGTTTATCTATGTTTGGATTTCTAGGGATAACCTGGGGCCTCTCAAAGTTAATGAAGTACTCAATAGTTTTGACAACACTGGCAATGTCTGTAAGTAGATTTCTTCTGCAACCCTATTAAGCCACTATGTTTGTTCTGTATGCACAAAATGCACACAAAAAAAATCCTATTTTATGCATTTGTGCAGAAATGCACAAAAATATGTTACCCTCTATGGTTTTTGCTGTTATCACTATTAATGCATGGCTGCTGATAAGTCCAACTGAATCATGTGCTGGCCATAGTGTCGGTACTTATGAATGTGTTATTGTCATCTTGTTAAAAAGAAACTACACCCAATTCGAGATGCTTTAGATGAAAAACGAAACATAAGACCAAATGGGGGAAAACATCTGATACTCTTACCAAACCTCAAAAACTTTACGCATACAATATCAAATGCTTACCTCAAAGGAAGTGCTATCTCTTCTACTTTTTCTGGCTCTAGTGACCTTTATTTGATAGCGGTCAGACAGGAAAGCAGGTTGTGTGAAAGGAGGAGTCAACAGTATGCATTACTTTTTTTTCTTGTCCTACCATCAAAAACATAAACAAGTAGAGTTTTAAAGACGATATTCTGAAGCTTTCTGTTAGTGTTAGTCTCAGAGAAATGTGAAAATGTGAACAAAAAAAAAATGTGTGAACCTGTGGGTTGTATCTATCTTATTGAACAATTACTCATTTTCTGTTCAGCTTAGAGTTACCAGTCATGTAGCCTGTTCTAGCTGTCAGAACTCTTGGGTAATTCACACATTTTTTTTTTCTTATAAAATCTTGGTTTTTAAGAGTAAAAAGGAAAAGGTTATTGTTTTTTGTATTGGGTGCCCTTTATCCCACCCATTGTCCTTTACATTGCTTTCCGCTGTTAATATATGCAAAGTAATACTTACCAAAAACGACTTTCTCAGTTTCAAACAAAACATCTTGATGACTGCACCCCCTCCCATTCACATTCCTGTTTCTCAATTTACAATCCCTCCCCATCGCTACCCTCATTTTTCCCTCCATCCCTCTCAGTTGGAGTCATGCTTGGCCAGATGGGTAACAGAGTTCCTGACTTGGCCAATGGATTAGCACAGCCGGAGATGAGAGCATAGAGGAAGGGAGAGGAGAATAGGGGGAGAAGGTGGGTGGGCATGCCATAGGTGGAACGTGTGTCTATGTGTGTGTGTGTGTGTGTGTATGTGTGTGTGTGTGTGTGTGTGTGTAAGAAGTGTGAAGCCTTTAGCGAAGGGACCTTGCTCCTCAAACAATGGGGCAGCCATCTCCCTCCTGTTCTCCATCTCATGTTTGGGACTAGTAATGCGTGAGATCAATTAGGGTTGGTTGAGAGGAGGCTCTGAAAGGCCCAGAGGTGACCCTGTCGGAGCTCTGGGGTATACTTTTGGGGGTGGGGGTTGGAGAGAAGCCCTTCAAAATTTAAAAGCGCACACAGTGAGTTACATTTGTCCTATCATAGATATACAAGAAGGCACACCACCTGCAATAATCTAGTACTTCCATGCTAATAAGCCCACCTTCACGTCACCCGACCCTATACTCTCTCCACCTTTCCTGCAGTCTTGATAATCCCTCTACCCCTGAGGTGTGGACAAGCCCAAATCCTAGGGGTCCTTGTCCTCCTGAATAGCAGGCTAAAAAGCCTGGCCGGATTAACCCACCGTATCCAAAATGTGTGGATTCAGCTTAAAAGTGCTACCCCCCTCTCAGCGTGAGACCCTCTGCCCCCACAACCTCTTTCCAGCTATTGTGTTTGTTATACAAGTGTGCACGTACGTGAACAATATGTTGTTTCTTGGAAGTAAAGATAAGCCGGAGTCAATGGTTTCAACACCAGACCAGAGGAGGAGCGGGCGAGGCAGCTCAATTAGGATTTTAGGAAATGGGGAATTGATCTCCAGGTCGGCATCATACTCCTGAACAAATCCAAATGACAAGCTTGTGTGAGCATCAGAAGTTGTAATAAAAAAGAAAACAAAAACTTTGTTTCGGAATGGCAAAGCTAATGCGCTTTCTGGAAATAGTTTGAGTAAATTAAACCTTATGGTAAATATTGGCTGTAATTGTTTTTTCTAAGAAACTAAGTCATAATCCAGGAAATATTAGACTATTTGGAGGAGTAACATAGGTGTGTGTCACAGGCAGGTCATCTGTGTTTACGCACATGTAGAACCCCCAACCTCCCTCCAATTTACACACAGTTTGTGTGGCTGCATTGTTACATTTGTAGCTCATTATGTCTTGCTAATAAATGCCTAAACCTCTGTCAGACTAGACTTCAGCACTTTCAACTATTTGAACTCTGAACTCCTGACCCTCTCGGTCTCTTCAGCTGACGGTGGAGTCTTGTAATCGCTGGTCTGCTTTGTACAAGCGCCATTTGGGTTTTTTGGGGAGATGCTTGTTCCCTGCCAAGGGTCAGGATTTAAGGATACAATACAGGGCCCCTTGAGGGTGGAGTGACTAAGAATGCATGGCAGAATGTGTGCATGTGTGATTGAGAGGGCTTAGAGCTTGTTGACGTTGCTAGGGTTTTTGATTAGGGGGCTTTATAGGCTGTAGGGTTATTTGTCAGGTTTGTGTTTCACTTTAAGGTAGCATTTGTTAGGGATGTAGCGATATGAAAGTTTTTCAGTCCTGATTAATGTGTACAGATTCATCATGGTAATTATACAGTAGTATCCTCATCATATACAGAATGCTCTTTTATAACCCATACATACAGACTTGGCATTGTTAGATAGAGATATTTAAAAGTAAAAAAAGAAAAAAATAGATATAGATGACGTTCTTTTCTTGCTGGTAACACAATCACAACAATGAGTCACAAAAATTAGTTTTATTGATTGTTCTAAATTCCTCTTTCAAAAATAGGTGAATGTTTAAAAAGACTTTGTCTGCAATTTATCCCCTTTGCATGTGTGGGTTCCCACCAGGTGCCTAACCAAATGATGTTCAGATGAACATTTCCTCAAAGTCAAATGTTCAGTGTCCAAGAATGGATGTTGACCAAATATTGATCAAACATTTACTGGTTGTAAGAAACAAAATAGGTTTTTCTGTGATTATATTTGATAATTTATTTAGTTTTTTAAATCCTAATGGCTGTTATTATTATTTTTTATCAAATCTTTGTATTATATTTTGACATTCTCTGCACATTCTCTCATTGGACGCTGTAGGTAGTACTGTCCATTTTAATGTTGACCTCGCTCTTCCAGGTTGCGCACAACAATAGGGACAAGTAAGTACTGGACATACATTTCTGTACTGGAGATACAGAAAAGTCATTAGATTACTCTATGTAATTTCTAACATACAGAAATGTTAGAAATTTTAAAATGCTAATACTGTTAAAATGTTAACTTTGCAAACCAGTGACCACTTCATACATAGTTTCCAATGATGAATACGTAAGAAGACATACATTTTTCTTTCTTGTTGGATGAAGGATTGCATATAAATCAGTACTTTTAATTGAAGTTCAGAGTAATATAAGGCTGGCGGCTGCCACGATTAGAAACATCTGCTGGAAGTGAACGCACCCAAATGTCCTGCGAAGTGATGAAAGCCTGGCTGTGTGTGTGTGTGTGTGTATGTGTGTGTGCAATGAGGAGCCCAGCATCCTAATGAAGCCTAATAGAGCCTTCTTCACTACAGCTGTCATCGTGCGAATGGCTACCAGCCTTTCAGCCTCTCAGTCATCCCTATTATCTCCCACCGACTTCACCTATCACTCCCGCTGGTAAATACTATAAGCTCTGACTGCTTGAGTGTTGTGAGGCAGCGTGGTGGGGAGCTGATCATTTTCTGTGTGTATCTCATGTTTGTGGAGCTATGGGGACTGTTTCTGTCAGGTGGATGTATTTATAAAGAAGTGAAACAATAACATCAATATTAAATCAATCCCAGGTATTCATCGTTGTCATAATCCCAGCCAGGGATGTGCATGTGTTGTTTTCTTTTTTCAAAGCTGCTCATGACTGTTTACTATATGTGATAGTTGTGTCTTTTTACTGAATGTGTGTGTGTGCACATTTAAAGTCTGTGTGTGTTGTAATAGGTGCCCCCCGTGGCCTTCCCTTGTGCCAGGCCTTTAGCGCAGCCCTGTTTGCATAATTATGCTAATTCATTTTGCCATAGTGCTAATTAGACCTTGTTAGACAATAGCGCTAGACTGGAAGCTGGCAGGCACGCACGCACATATGCAGCCACAAGCTCACTCTGACTGTTGTGTCAATGACAAGATTTGCGGTCCCCCTCTGCGCTGTTTATAACATGCTTTCTATAGAAATCACTCTCCATTGGTGCCTTCTGGACTGAGCTCAGGTGTCTCTTACCATTTTGATTTAAACTAGTGGAGAGAAATCAATGTGACAATATCACACTTGCTTTTTGAAACTACTCCCAATTGTCTATTCAAGAACCTGCGGTTCTCTCTTTTTCCCCCCCATCAGAGCTGATTATTTAATGTTTGTTTCTCACCAAGTCAGTATATTTTTCTTAGCTTTGCTTGTTTTGTCACAGCACAATAAAATATAACTAATTTTGATCTCAGTCTGCCTTACTTTACTAACAATATAAATGTGAGTCGTTCAGAAAACTTAACATTATTCCTCCTCAATACCAGGATACTTAATTTTTCAATATTTGGCTCATCAAGTAATTTAGCATTCAGTAAGGAACTAAGTGAAAATATTACAGAAGGGATCTAACAATACATTTAGCTCAGGAAGTGATAAAAGATACTAGGTACACAAGATGAAGCTAATAGTGTTCATAAGAAAAACACAACTGTAGCAAATATTTCTCAAATAAAAGATCAAGTAAAAGGATTTTTAATCGGTGTAAATTGATTTAGTCTGAGTCTGGCTTCTCTCGGGGAAGCGGTTTTGATGCAGCACCGCAATTAGGTTGGTTGTAATGCCAAACATAGTAGTAGTAGTAGTAGAAATGTCCTTTTACTGTTTCCTTGAAGAGAATAAAGTGTCACATATCAAAAAGAAATACATAATTAAGGTTTACATACCGGTAGTCTACATGGGTTAGAT